CGTATACATTTGATCGCTAAACTCAGGCTATAACATATAATGCGTATATATTCATGCTACAGTACACCGAAGTATTATCATATACAAGAACGTATTTACTTTGTAGCACTTTTATATCCAACCATGCATGCGATATAGTTTCTTCTATTGTTTTTGAGTATATTTAAAAAATAATTATTTAATGAAATAAAAATGAATGAATGAATGTTAACTATCTAATTGTATAAAAACATTAACAGGCAGGTTATGAAAGTACACGTTTTTGATAGGTTCTCTTTCTCTTTTTATTAACACTTATTTACACTATATCTATATACATACACTTGCTACATAATATATAATCTAAATAGGTATAAATACTCTACTAAATACTCTGCTAAATTTCTCATTTCTCGATGTTTTTCGATGTCAATTGAAGCAGTTTTACTATATCTTTATTTGCAGCATCTTATGCAATTAAAAGCACAAACGTTTTTCAGTTATGTTACTTTACTTTTTAAAATAATTGTTTCAGTGTTGATGTTACCTGCTTGTACTACTGTGCATAGTTGTAAAATCAGCACCAGCTACTGCACTCCCATTACTACCTAGGTATCTTTCGTAATTTTTTTTTATGCTGAAGCCCAAATCCAATTGCTGCATACCAAATTCTGCACATGACTATAAATTTTTGTAGGTTAGATTCGTTTAGAGTCTTTCAGTTAACCAATTATAATTGCCATAATGTAACGTATGATTCTGGATTGAACGTTGTTAATATCTAAACGTGTTACAGTATCTGTGAAAAATTTGACAGTCTATTTTTCTTATTTTTTATTACCACCAAGTGCACAGTAATTAGTGGCTGTGCAATAATTGGATCATTTACCTCTATGTACTTCTGTGTTAGCTGTAAGCAAAAAATTGCGGGAGTCAGTACACTGATTTCCGCGGTGGTACTGAATTGACGGATAAGCTGTGGACGTACTGTCATAACTTCTAGGCACTCTTGTGAAAGCCGCAGGATGATGAGGTACAAGAATCGCTGTGGCCAGCACTGCTATTTTGGTAGTGTTGTACTGCCAATACAGTTTTTAACGGGGTGCCAGTATCCGCTTACGGCTCTGATAGCCACGAATTTATGCAAGGAGTACTCTGACCTGGACTGAGCTTCCCGGGTACCCATGGAGACACACTCTCGTTACAATGTGGACAGTGAGTCCGCTTTTCCTTATTCTCGTCTGCTTGTTGAGGGGCCAGCTCAGCCCTGGCTTAACTCAGAATGCTCACGCGTCGATGTTTACGCGTGAGCCCGCGGAGGCGGCTGGATAAGGCCGGTACTTGGCTTGCAACTCCCTTTTGGAGGTCGCGATCTCTAAATAAAGCTTGTAAATGAGGAGAAGCCGGAAGGGCTCCATGCAAGGAAGGGTTCACGCAAAGCAAGACACAAACATTTAGTAATTATATGAACGGAGACTATATTAATTGCACTTGTACATAAGCATCTGGGTGTGTATGTGTGTGTGTGTTTATCGTTCGATCGCGCTAATTACAAGGCACGTCCAGCCAAGGAAAGGCTTTCCTCTCGGAGCCGACGGCACGCAATAATTCGATCGGGCGCGGAGAGAGATTACACGGCTACAACGGCTTTTACGCACGCACTGCACTTACCTGGCTTTTCGCAGTCTCTTATTTACGCTCGTTCGCCAAGTAGATGATCTCTCAGCAGAACCCCTCGGCCTAATGTCTTGCTGATAAGCCACTCGTTCGTGGACGTGAGGTGACAGGCGCTGACAAGGCGATGGTGAGGCTGTCCCGTGGTGACGCGGTGTGCTTTTCGAGCAAGAGACATACGTGTTTACCCTACCTATACCTAATCTCTTCTGACCTAATGGCCAAGAGCGTCCCACGCTAATACGCATTGCAAGACGCTTGTCTTTCCTTCCTCTCTCTCTCTCTCTCTCGCACACATCATGACACCCCCCTTCTCTCTCTGGCCTTTCTTCCTCACGCAGTCTAGGTGAGCGTAAACGGCGTTACAGTGTTAGTCGCCCGTTACAAGCTGTACAAATTTTTCAGTGTATTTTTTCATTGTGATCTAAAATCTAAGTGTGTATTTTGGAAAAAAAATTCGTAAAACGTGTGGCCACACGTACAATGAATTGGACTAAATCCTCTGTTTAAAGCCAATTGAAAATTTCTATCTCAAATATTTGAGAAATTAGTGATGTTCTGGTTGCCAGTTCAAGACTAATATCTTACAAACAATGGTAAGAAATTTGATAATTAGTTAATGAAAGAAACACTTAAGTAATATAAGGTCAGGCACGTGCTTATGCCACCTCATCGTTTACTAGCTAATCCAGTGGAGTAAAGTAAAATGAGGGTGAAAAGCACAATCGTTTTTTTTTTCTTCAGAACATTAAAATAAGGAGGAATACCTTAAAAAATGTAGCATGCAATAGATATTGCGTCCCAGACGATAACAATAGTGTCTTTAGTTAACTTAAACTATAGGGGATATTTCCATCAGGTAAAGAGCTTACGTGTAAAGATAGAAGCAACTAAAACTATAAAACGGATGGAAGCTAACGTTTATAAGGATAAGATCAGGAGGTAAGACGCATTAAGAGATATGAAGAACCTTGTATAAAAGTAAAAATTTAGTCATCGATGTTCTAGATGTTGAAAGAAAGAAAAGAAAAAAGTAAATGCCTTTCTAAAGCTCATATATATGACTGGAAATGATAAAAAAGCCTATGCTATATAGAATAGATAAGCTAAAAAATATGATTGTAAAGTACTTTTTAAATTTACATTAGTAGAAAGAGGCTCAGACTCATAAAGAAAAAGTATATCAGATAAAAATGAGCAGTTTTCGTTCTTTTTAGTAAGAGGATCCCAAAGAATACGAGAGGAAAATAAAACTTTCAAGCAATAATTTACAGAAAAATGTCAATAAAAATACAAAAACATATGAAAGAAGAAGTCAAGCCAATTATGATAATAATTAAACTTAAAATACGAAGAATCGATAGGTAAAAGAAGAAGAAATAAGCATAAATAAAGAAATTTCATAAGAAAATATAAGCTCATGTTAACCATTGGAGGAGATGGAGGAACCCTCTGCTCTTGATGATGTCTGCAATAAACTTTACTTAGATGTTTTTTTTTAAATGAAAAGATCTTGTTTGAAGATAAAAAGTTAGATAGAAACTTTCCAGGTGAGTATGGAAGGAAATGTCCCATAAAATGTAAGAAAATTTTGATCAGGTACAGAGGTAAATGATGTATTCTAATATTATTCCCGTATCCAACTGACAGTCACCACGCTTTTTAGAGTAATGGTACCCTGGGATTCGGTCCTATCAATTTTTTTGAGTCAAATGGTCTTCAATTGACCACATATGTCACAGCCAGACTATATTAATCAAAGGAAAGCAAAAAAAAGAAAAGAGATGTAGAATCATAAAACATAGCAAAAGAAAAGGAAAAGAAAAGAAAGACACAAAGAAGAGAACATCAAGATAGAAGGAAAAGAAAAAAAGAAAGTTTAAAAGAGAAGATGAATATGGCAGCAGAATAAGACAATTTAAAAGATACGCATAAAAATAAAATTAACGACCAAGAGCAAACAAAAAATAGACTGAAGGGAAAAGAGGAGGAAGAGCAGAGAAATATAAAAAAAATTTAAAGAAGAGGGTGAAAAAGTGGTCAGTATGATCAATGAAAAAGAATTTAAACAATTTAAACAAAAAAGGACATCCTCTTCATGCTTGGGTTATAAATGGCCACAAACAAATACGCAATTTCACCACAACAGCTGGTCATGAGAGACATAACCATTACTCTTGTAGTCAATGGTTTAAAACTACGCTGCAGTTGGTTGAAGGCGTCCAAAACCTGCCCTTCTTAACTTAACACCGTATGCTAAATAGCGCATTTCGATAGTCGTTATCATAACTCCTGAATGACGGTAACAAGAGAAAGGTCAAGTAAACTGGGCTGGAAAAGTTTACTATAAGTGAAGTGACATACACATGCAAGATATTATAAAGGTGAAAGTCAACTGAGAGACAGTAAGAAGTTAGAAGATGAGAATACTAACCAGAAAGTTAACTAGAGTGTATCAGTAAAAAATAAAGTGATATTTAGTAAAACAATAGGGCAGGACAAAGAGAAAGGATTAGTACATATTTTTAGGAAAATTGGAGCTTAAAATAATATAAGAGAGACAGAAAATTTAGAAACAATATGTATCACAAAGGTGGAATGAAAGTTTTTTTCATTGCAAGTATTTAAGGATTCTATATAATATAGTAGTGAGAAACAAGAGGTAGCTGAACCTCATAGTATAGTGTATTAGTATACCTATAGATAAAAACATGACTCAGTGTGCGTAAGTATGTACCAGACAGAAGAATGAAAAGTGCTACAAGTCTTGCAGCACTACTTGAAAGAACGGAGAGTGGAGGAGATCTGCTATCTCTTTAAAAATTTCTTAAATTTTCTAAGGGTTGGCAGTTTTTAGGTATAATAATAATTTTGGCAATGAAGACAGCTGAAAAAAAGGCGCGGACGTGCAGATTATTACTCCAGAGTGTACGGAAAAGTACATCATGTTATTGTCATTAAAGTGCCATGTGATAGAGATAGCAAATGCATTCAGAACAACAAATTACGAATTATCATGCGGTAATAAAACTAACTGCTGATCAGTTTTTACTTGAAATAAGAAATAACTTTTACCAGATGCATTGGATGTATATATATAATTAAAAGAAGAGTGACATTTTGAAAAAAGTGTTTGCTGATTCAATAGTAGTTATTTCTTATAATTTGTTAGCTGTATTCAAATTTATAATACAATTTGTATTTGGTGAAAGTACTTTTTTATTTTTGTGCATCTCTTCATATTTTGCGCAATTAATTAATTTTTTTTTATTTGAGTACATTCAAATGATAATTCAAATACTTATATGCATATATAATAATATTTCAAAAAAAAAAAAAACGTAAACTTACATTTCAGATAAGTATGCTCTAAATTTACATAGTCCAAGTCCAAGAACCCAGGGATATTGTTGCCAAAATACACTTAACTCATTTGGTAGTCCTAAAGAATATTAATATTTAGGCTTATATAATTTTTACAACATTATTTATGTGACTGTTTGATTTCTTGTAATAAGTAATACTTTTCATAAACATAAACTAATTAAACTATTTCTTAATAATTATATATAATTATTGCTTAGATATTATTATTAGGCCTCTAATAAAGTATGTCATGAATTTTAGTGTCAGTTCAGAGAACTTCATTAGAAAATTCATCGTTATAACTTTACAGTTGCCTACTTATAAGTTTTAGTAGAAAACTACTATAAGGCTTATTTAGTAATAATTTTAGTTTACAGATAAAAGTTTAATTTTAAACAATTCCGTAATATGCTACATACTGATGGTAGTCATCAACATAAGGGATCCTATCGTTGTCTTCCGTAGAGTTTTATATTATAGTCAGGTTATATAAATACTACAAAAACTTATAGTTAACTAGTGTATACAAGGTTAAAGTAAAAGCGTTTTAGAGCTATTATGATAATCGAGGCTTAATCAAGTGCTTACTATGACCTAGGTGTAGACAGCGATATCCTAAAAAGTAAACTTATTCTTTTAGAGATATTTTTAACAATGCATCTGCTAAAATACATTACTAGTTTTATAAATAACAGTATAACTTAGCGTTCTCCCACCTCATTTTTTCTATTGCTTTCAGTGTCTGTCTTCTTCTTTGGAGATTCACGAGAAATTTATTCTAATTAAGCGCATATGAAAATACAGCCCACAACATTTAGAAGTACAGGTTTAACTCATTATCTCATTTTTATTGACTACAGTACAAGACCATTCATGCCACAGTAGAAAAGATTTATAACACTTGACAAGAGCCATAAACCTGGCTTAATGTAACGTCGTACACACTCGCATGTCTCAAAGTCACAGCTCTTTTATGTACTTAATTGAACCATCTTCTATACATTTATTATCGATACATTGTACTTGCACTCCGTCACGTCCACTCAGTTTTTCTTGTCTTTACATTTTCTTCTCTTCCTGCTACACATTCTACTGGCCTTTTTTAAACTTAGGTAGTAATTTATTTCAGGGCTTCATCTTTAACCAGTATATTTAAATCTCGTAATCGACCTCACATTATACGATAAGCAAACCATTTGTATTCTTTCTTTTATACATAGCTGTTTAGCAAAATTTTAAACTGTAAGCCATTTTATAGATTATATTTTTAGATTTTTTAAGCTTTGTAGTTTATTATGGCGATAATTGTAAGTGATTTTACTCATTATTTATGACTATAATTGAAACTACAAGTTTATTATTAATACAGCTGTATAGCTGATTTTGATTGTTGGGTAAGGGGCAAGTCACGTTATAATCCCCTTTCTAACATGCTAGTTACAGATTGTAGGATAGTGAGGGACAAGTTTCTTCTTTAACATCAGGGGCCTCTAAAGACTACTTCTCTCCCTCTCTTTCGCTCTCTCTCTCTCTTTTTTCTCTTTCTCTCTCTCTCTCTCCCTCTCTCCATTTTTCCAGTTGCATCGAAGTTTTCAATTGTGGTCCCTTTGGGTAAGGCATGGAACCTCCAGAGATCCAGTAACTTTTGTTCAGTCGTAAACCAAGTCTCATTCCTTAAAGTATTTTATACTTTAATAGCACATAGACTAACAGAGTTTCTGGAGGAGAAAAACATGATTTTACCCATGCAATCAAGTTTCCGCATAAATAGAAGCACGTAGTCAGCTTTGTTAAGATTGTTTATTTCGCGGTTTAAGGATGACATTGTGCAGAGTCATAGGCTGGGCTGACGATCATGGGCTGCGATTTAATTTTGATATGTTGTATGCTGTTATGGTGGGCATCAGTTAGAATCTTATGCGCATAGATACGACTAAATTGCCGCCACTCAAAGCCAGTAGTCGTTCGATACCCTTTACCAAGTAATTTGAATTTTGTTAGTGCCCTCCAATGAATTTAGAAATTCAAAGTGATCATTGATCCGTTGGAGTAGAGATACAAGAAATAAATGAATACATCTTGTAATTACTTATTTCTCATATTTTGTCTCTAACGGATGACTGATAACTTTTAATTTCTTCACCAAGTGGGTGAAGACTCGCAGTATCGTAGTTTCAGGCAATAAAGGTTGGAGTTCTAACGTACCGCCCATGTGTTCATGGGTTTATGGAGTGCTCTATCGTGTATGCCACTGAGCTGGACTATTAACTAGCTCATTGAAGGCGATGGTAGTGTCAAGCTTCATCATAGCCCACATCGAATATGCATGCTTGGTCTATGACGCACTATTAGGGTATCTTTTCATCAAACTAAATAGGGTTTGTAATACTGTCGTCAGGTTCATTTTTAATATTAGGTGGGATCTGTATATAGGACAATAACGTGTGAATTGTAGCAAGAGTATTGGTGCCCTGTTGGCTGCGTCTATCTTGATGAAGTCAACTAATTTGTTACTTATAAATTTATGAGGGATCGTGGCACAAAAAAACTACTCAATTGACAAATAACTAATAAAAACCCAACTAAAAAAAAACAATTTTGCTGAATTTATCTGAACGGAGGATGGGAATGAACTGGGTAAAATATATTAAAAATGCACTGATTATGAGCCGCGAACGAAGATATATTCCGCGGCTTAAGGGAAAAACTCCGAAGAGAAAAACCCAAGAGAAGAAAAATTAACGGAAATACAAACGAGTGAGGTTGAACTATAAATTTTGAGACAAATTTCCTGTAATGAAGAGTGTGCACTTGTGTATTGTGTGTAGAAAACGTATACGTGCGCGTCCGCACGTGTCTCGAAAAACTCACGAATCGAAAAACGTCGCACGGTCTGCGAAGCAGATTTTTGCCGTGCTTTACTTGCAGCACGCCGAGCTTCTCGAAGATAATGCAGATGACGATGATGATTAAAGAAGGAAAGCGTGAGAGAAATTAACCCCAAAAAGGTGATCCAGATACCTGTGTTCGTGATGATGATGAGAAAAGATGTAGAAACCAGTAGGACAACTATAATACCCAACTATGCCAGATACTCGAGATCACAGTTGATAACTGTAGATCGTTCTGTATAGACAGATAGTTCGGGATGGACCTGGCGCGCCCACCCAAAGTAGTCGCAAAACCCCCTTCCCTTTTTAATTCTCCCACCCGCTGCAGTCACTATGACCCATCAATCCCTTACACCTTATGTGAAAAGCCAGGAAGAGAGAGAGAGAATGATGTAAGCAATTAAAAGAGGGGGAGAGACCTATGACCCGAGAACACTTGATAAGAGCAAAAGAGGAAAAGGATAAAGGTAAGAAAGAAATGGACCAGCGATTGCATGTGTGAATATGTGATGAATTTTTATGTAAATTCAGTGTGCTGCCACTTCCGGCGTGCTGCAAGGTTGATCCTCCACCGCTCACGAGGCGGTCTACGAATTTTAGTCGTTTTAACTAAACAACGTACACGAGTAGAGTGATTGCACCAAAGTGTTAGACAAAACTACTTTTTAGCGGGAGGAGCATACATAATTTTAAACACGTAAGAGCTGCAGTAGTAGTTAGTGTTAGTAGTAGTAGTTATAGTTAGTAGTAGTTAGAGTCTTTTTCCACTACATCGTCCAGAGCGTCTCTGTTGATCGGACTTCAATAGACCACGTACATTTTTCAGTTGTTATGCCGCATCTTCTTCTCAGTGTGATATGAAGCTCTAGGACCAATTTTCTGCATGCATCAGACTGAGAAATTCGCTTAAGTTTCTTTAAGCAAGATGCTATGAAAACTTACTTCAACAGGATTAGGCAGTTTGGAGATAATATCGTATTTTCTATGTATGTTCTCATGCTTCAGTCATTATGAGGCATTGTTAAATAATAAATGCATTTTCAAACTTATATTGCTCACATTAATAGAACATAGTACTGCAAATATTATTATATTACTAGCAGCCCCCCGTCTCGGCTTCGCCCGAGAATTACTAAATAAAACACCGTAGTGTGCTGACATGTAATGTGAAACGTTTTCAGTTAGAAATTTTACACATATTCCTAACACATATCAGAACAAAAATCTTCTTATTAAAAACATATTTTTTCGGAATTCATATAGTTTATTTGGTCAAATGATAAGGTATGAAAATTCAAAAAAAATAATTATGCTACACAGTACCGTGCATTCTTTATGCCATAAAATAATCGGTGGCCGTAAGAAGTCGTTGATTTTCAGTTTCTCCCGGATAATTCACGAAAAGAGCTATTTTTTAAAGCTGTTAAGATTTAAAACCCCCAAAAAATTAATTTAAAAAAATTCTTTGTATTTATTAGATACATTTAAAGTTTTTCTTCTAATTCACCCTCTTGCAACTTTTGGCATGCTTAAAATTTTTGTGACCCCTAAAGGCTGTTTTCTGTTAACTTTGTTAAGTTCTAATATATTTGTTGGCAAGGTAGTTCGACGTCCGATGGCCCTAAAAAAGACCGGTGAGCTTCTTAAGTTAACTCTTTCTTGACTGCAGTTAACAGCAATTGTGACTGCCTGGATACCTCAGGGTGATCTTCTCTGGCTTGCTGTTGAAGACCCAGACTGATTGGGAGAAAAATTACAAAGTCCGAAGCTTTGGGGCTAGTTGTAGTGCTCTTTCCCAACGTCTCCCGGTATAACGTCGAAGACGTTGGTGTCTAAAGCACCTTTTTTATTTGCAGATTCAGTTGTTTTGGTGATCTTAGATGGGGAGATTGGTTAGTGATACTTGTCCAGTGGAGGCTGTCCCGTTGGCTCAAGTTTTTTTTCCTTCATAGCTGTTATAGGTTTGCCCAACGCAGACCTTGGAGAGGATCAGTGATTCCTGGTTGAATGCTTAGAGTCGAGAGGGTAATATAGAGTCGTCGGTCACCGGGTTTTCCAGCCTTGCGAAGAATAACTCCGCAGGTGACGTCTGCCAGTGAATAGCTGACTTGGTTTAATAGTGGCCATCTTTAGTTAATGTAGTCTTTTAGTCGACAAATCGCTTCCGGAAATGGTAGTAAAAATG